CACGGCCGAGCGGTAGGCCATTAGGAATAAATGAATGTGCTGGTCCCAATCTCTTTGATGTTCTGATACAACTTTGGACAGGTGTTTACCCATCGTTCGGTTCATTCTCTCGACCATTCCATCTGATTGAGGATGAAGGGGTGTCGTTCTGGCCTTATTGACGCCAATCAATTTACAAACGTTTTGGAAAAGGTTTGACTCGAAGTTTCGCCCTTGGTCGGAGTGGATCTCCAAGGGAACACCAAATCGGCTAAAGAATTCTTTAACCAGTACCTCTGCAACGGTAGCAGCTTCTTGATTTGTTAGCGCATAGGCCTCAGTCCATTTCGTAAAATAATCCATGGCTACCAGGATATATTTATTTCCATCATTTGTCTCTGGAAGTGGACCTGCAATATCGATTGCTACTCGTTCCATAGGACTACCAACATTGTACTGTTTCATGGGTGCCCTCTTTTTACCAACTGGGCCATTACTGGTTGCACACAGTTCACATTTCCGGCACCATCTTCTTACATCATCTTTACAGTTCACCCAATAGAACCGTTCTCGAACCTTTTGCAGAGTCTTCGTAATACCAAAGTGTCCACCTGATGCACTGTCATGCAACTGACGCAATACTTCTGACACTTTACTTTTAGGTACAACCAACTGAAGCTTAGTTTCTGTACCATCATCGTTCTCAAAGGTTCTATACAGAAGATCATCTTTCAGCACTAGGCAATACCATTGGCTCCAGTAACACTTGACTTCGGGACTGCATGCACTAATGTCTTGCCAAGAAGGTCTTTCACTTCGACGCACCCAATCCAATACTCTTTTTATACATGGATCATCTGCTTGGGCGTCTTGTAGCTGTTGAGGCTGCCATTGGTCATTAATAACGGTGGTTCGCCTAATGGGGCAAAATCGTTCTTCTAATTCAAGACAATGATTACGATTTGCACTGTATGGCCGTCTTAACTGAACATCAGCATTTGAATGACTTTTTCCAGCCCAGTGCTCGATCTGTTCTAGCTTTCTGACTGTTGTATTATTTTCTTGCACTTTGTGGCGAATGTGACCTTCGTTGTTACCATTCCAACATCTGGGTTTACGTTTCTTCGGCATCATGTTACGCACTACTTTCCGTACGATTTCCTCTAGACGTTTATCGTTTCGTTCGTCACTTTCTTCAGAGGTTCGTACTGGATAGCTCCGTGAAACTCGACTAGCTATCTCATGTTCCAAGGCAATGGCGAGCGCTTCATCTAAAACTTTCGGTCTTGCTAGTCGTAAAGCTTTCTGTAGTTCACTGTCTCTCAACCCATTGACGAAGGCATCTACAGCAATTTCTTCCAAAATGTTGTCTGGTACCTCTGGATAGGCCAACAGCGCTATACGAGCAATATCTGCTTCAAATTCTTGCAAACTCTCACTCGCTCGTTGAATTCTACTTCTTATTTGTACTTTGTAGACTTGTTGTAGATGGGCATCTCCGTAACGTTTGTCTAGTCGAGTAAACAAGGTCTGGTAACATTTTTCTTGACCCTTAGGAATCGATCTTAGGATATCTGCAGCATCACCTCGTAAAGCAGCAGTCAAGGAAACAGCTTTTTCTTGTTCTGTCCAATGATTGGCTGTCGCAATAGCTTCAAATTGTCTAAGGTATATAGACCAAGAGGACTTTCCATCAAATGGTGGCAATTTGAATCTCATATGATGTGTCGTTTCGTCTCTCGGTGCTTCTTTTATTACCGGATCTAAAGCTACCGTATTAATTGGTGGTAGCACTTTCGTGTTAGTTATCATGCTCTCTAACTGTTTGATTTTCTGTTCTACTTTATCGAATGTTTTAGAGACTTCTTCAAACTTCTCACTATTCTGAATACATACTTCGTCGAATCTTCTAGACATATTTTCAAATTTCTCGTCGTTTTGCCTGGCTGTTTCTTTAATAATTTGAGAAGTTTCATCGAATCTTTTGGAAACGTTCTCGAATTTATCATCATTTTTTCTAGAAGATTCTTCAATTTTTTTAGAAGTCTCTTCAATCATTTCCGACACATTTTTTATTTTCGTTAAAACTGCTTCTTCTGCTGACTGGAACTGGAATGTCTCTGGGTCTTCTCCATTCTTGTTGAGAACAGTCTTCAGTCGTTCTTGGAGTATCTTCTTGGACCCGCTGCAGTCTTCATCGCGCTCTTCTAGTTGCTCACGCAACTGTTTCACTGAAAGTTCTACTAACAGCATCTTCGATCAGGCACACACGTACTTTTTAAATGTTCTTTCGTACAACGATCACTACCGAACTACGCGGATGTTCCCGACAAACAATACTTTTCAAAAGTTCAAAAGTCTCTTTTTTCCACTGTTGGATTTATTTTTAAATGAATCAATTGTCCTCACACCTGACACCAATTGTACCGTTTTTAAATAAAACGAGCAGTTCGAATTTATATAAATATATTTATTTATAACTTTACAGTTCGGTATTCTCTTATCAACTAACTTAAATCCTAATTTCGTTACATATATATACCAAAGTATTATGTTCGAGAATATTCGAGAATAGTCCCACCTCTAATTCGTTATTTGACGAATGGAATTTTACAGCGCTCGAAATATCGCCGAAACTCTCGGTGCTTCGAGATGCGACCGTTAGGTAATCCACGCTAAATGCATGTTCGTAACAATATATATTTATATATGTATATTTATATATACATATATATATATATATATATATATTTATATTTATATATATATTTATATATACATATATATATATATATATATATATATATATATATATATATATATATGCGTTTTTTTAAAATTTATTATTATGTTTAATCATTAGTTTTCATTACCTTATAAAATATTTTCTAGAATTAGGAAATTCAAAAATGTTGTTCAATGCATTAAAACTTCTAAAATTTACGCTGCATTTTTATTTTTGTTCTCTAAAATTTAATTTTCTTATCAATCTAATGTTGAACCAACTGATATGGGAAAGAACTCGTATACGGTTTACAACAACCCCCTCCAGGGGATATCCAGATGCCTTTGTGTATGTTTTTGTGGGAAATATGGTAAAACTTATGATCATGCTTTTCCTAGCTCCTAAGTCAATAAGATATTGTCCGTTTCCATTCGTATCTCTATATAGACGATGCCTCCCAATTATGCCGATGTATTCTTTTTTAGTTCCTAACTTTGCGTTTGTGACACCTATTACTAGTTTGATGTCTATGTTTTTTTATGTTAAGTCATGTGTTTGCTCTACTAATTGGTAAAAAGCTACTTTGGTGTCTTCATCTTGTTCATTCGTTGGACAATGAATGTTTTTGATGGTTAAGTTGAAGAAGCGAGTCTTTATTCATATCCTACAAATTCGTTCATTAACTGCTTGAAAATCTTTTATAAGGTGTTTTAGTTTATTATTGACTATAAATACAACTGCACTGTATCTAAACCACTTGTCAAGATGGTGTGTGTTTTCTTGTCCCGGATATCCTTCCCTAGCCATCTTGTTTCCTGAATTGCTGCCACTCCAATCATGTATCTTTTCAATTTACTGAACAAGGCGCTTAACGTTCCGGGTCTATTCAAAGATAGATCCGTGCCTTAATATTCGTCCATTCCGAGGCTTGTTTTCGGGTTTCGTAGTAATTGTTTTTTCAGGGGATAGGTTACTAGCCTGTCGCCCAACCTTCCTCCTTTTTTGGGTCTTGGGTCCGGTACTAATACTTACTGAGCTATTTAATCCACCCATATCTTGCTAAAGGCAAAGTTTTGCTCATAGATGATATTCCACTAATTCCTCACATATTTTTATATTTTCTTTCTTGTGTATGGATAATAATATTTGCATCCATACGAAAGATAAATCTTCTACATTCATTTCTCTGTCAGACATTTTAGGTATCATGTAGAATAATGCCCCCGATAATTTTTTTATTCAGTTTATTTGGTATTTCATCGAAACCTAATTTTTTGTTCTTTAGTGTTTTGATTGCTTTTTTCAAAGCAATAACTACACTATTTCTATCTGTTCCTTTGCATATTTTTCCTCTTATTCTATTGTTTGTTCTACCAATAGAGGACGCCATTCCGTTATCAATTGTTTAAGTATCGTTGCCATTATTGTTCTTTAATTTGACCAATATATACTCACTCTGCCTTATTGTTTGAAACGACTTCAAGATATGCGATGTCACTGATTTTCTGGTTCCTCCAATTCGGTGTTCTTGCTCTTCTTTTTTTCTTGATTTTATTCCTGTAGAACTCTTGTTTTACTTCTTTTACCACTATAGAGTTTTCATGATTTTTTGAATTCAGATAATATATATGGAGTTCTTGCGTTTTTTGTTTTTATGCAGCATTCGTCTAATATTTTATATAAGCAAAATAACGTACTTTTTACTTATTTCTATTTTTGTTTAGTACAATTTTGTAAAGTATTGTCTTTACCTGATCACTTTATATATAGTCCATTTAAACATTTAGGTACCATTTTATAAAAGGCATGTTTTATACTTTGTTTTTTCTTAATACTTTTAAAAAATACTGGGATACCTATACAGCTAAACGCAGAAATTTAACATATTTACTGCACTATTATTAACACCTACAAAAGCACGTGCATAAGGACCAATTTAAAAAATTGGTCAAATTATACCATAAATTCCAAGATACTGATTTTGAAGTAAGTAGTGACCTTCGCAATGAAAACACAGTTTGTATTTCCTGATTTTAGGAATTACAATTCAGTTTAAGTACAGCGATTTACAATAGAGAAAAAGTAATACTGTGCTGTGGTAAGTCAAAGCGTTGCCTTGTATGTATATATATATATATATATATATATATATATATATATATATATATATATATATATATATATAATTTTATTATATTGAAAAAGGATATAATAGACTTGAAGAAGCTCTGTGGTGAACACAAATTGTAAAATATATGAGTGACGGTGTAATAACTAGTGGTAGGCAGGTGAAGTGGGGAATACTAAATTTCATGTGAAAGTACGATTCATCCGGACTCAGCTCTTATCTTTCTATTGAGTGCTAATAGAAATTTCAACATAACATCCCTTAGTGTATGCTAATAATGAATAGTCGATACAAAGGTAAGAAAAGTAGAAACAGACTTTTGAAGAAAAAGACTTATAACTTAATAGGAATTAAAAACCGAATAACTAACATGGTCAATTGATACTATTTTCCTCTAACTCTTCTTCTTCTGCTAGTGCCTATCCTCTATGGATGTTGGCTACTACAATGGCCCATCGTATTTTATTAGCAGCTGTTCGAAATAGGTCTGTGGTGGTCATATCTGTCCACTGTCTCAAATTCCCAAGCTAGGATATTCGGCGGCGTCCTGGTCCTCTATTTCCTTCTATTTTTCCTTCTAATGATGTACATATGATGTTCTGAGCATGCGACGATAGCACCCACATGTAGAAAGAGTGCAACTGTCTGCAAGACGCATCAGTGAGTGTCCATGTCTCTGCTCCATACATAAGAACAGAAAACACATAACAATTAAGGATTTTGAGTCGGAGATGTAAGTTCAAGGTTAAATAACAGAGAACTTTCTTCATCTGTTGGAAGGCACTCCTTGCTTTTTCGATCCTACATTTAATCTCCTATAAGTGATCCCAGCTGTCTGTGATGTTGCATCCTAGGTATGTTATTTTTTCTGTTTTATCCAATACCTCATTGTCTGCCATAAACTTGATTCCAGCTGTCTGTGATGTTGCATCCTAGGTATGTTATTTTTTCTGTTCTATCCAATACCTCATTGTCTGCCATAAACTTTGCATCTGTATCTTGGTTTTTGTTTATGATCATAATTTTCGTCTTCTTATTATTAAGTTTCATTCCATGTTTTCTACCGATGTGAACTACTTGATCTATAAGTCTTTGTAATCCTTCAGCACTATCCGCAACAAGGACAGTGTCATCTGCATATCTTAGATTATTTATTACTTCACGGTTAACAATCACGCCATCAGCCGTTTCTCCCAAAGCTTCTCTAAATAGATGTTCAGAGTACGCATTAAACAGCAAAAGCGAGAGTATGCAACCTTGTCGTACTCCTCTTTGTATTAGGACTACATCGGATAATTGATGGTCTATTCGAATCTTAGCTACTTGTTTACTATAGAGATTGGCTATTATTCTTATATCCTTGTCATCGATGTTTGTTATTCGCAAAGTTTCAATAAGCCTCTCATGCTGTACTTTGGCAAATGCCTTTCGAAGTCAATGGAACAGGCAAAGACATCTGTATTAATATCTCTTGCTCGTTGTATCAATACTTGTATGCTAAAAAGTGCTTCACTTGTGCCAAGACCGCTGCGAAATCCAAATTGTACATCAGCAATACCCTCCTCCAATTTCTTGTATATGCGAGCATGGATGATGTTTAAGAAAATTTTAAGTGAGTGTTTTATGAGGCTAATGATTCGATGTTCTTCACATTTCTTAGTATTTGTTTTTTTTTTGGCAGTGGTATAAATATGGACATGTACCAATCTTTTGGTAAAGTTCCTGTTTCATATATACGGTTAAATAATTATGTCATAATGTCAGTTGATTGTCTTCTATCAATTTCAATACCTCAGCATATATTCTATCAGGTCCTGGAGCTTTGTTGTTTTTTTAAACGACTTATGGCAGATCTTACTTCTGATTTTGTTATTGTTGGTCCATTCTCGACGTTGTCATATACTTCAATGTGTTGGTTTTCACTGAACAGTTCTGCTATATATTTTTGCAATCTGTCCAGTTTTTCCTACGTATTGAATAGTATGTTTTCATCTTTATCAAACAGTGCAGTGGGCATTGGTGTTCTATATATTCCTGCCATTTCTTTGATATTCCTGTGCATATTGAATATATCATGCTTTTTCTGTAGGATATCTATTTCTAAGCATTTCTCTAACAGCCAGGATTCTTTTGCTAATTTTATTTCTTTAAGTAGGTACCTTTTTGTCCTTGTACTTTTTTTTTGTGTCTTTATTCTTAAACTCTCTTCTCTCTAAAATCTGATGTGTCATCCATGGTTGTTTTATTTGTCTTTCCTGTTTGATGTTGCTTATTGTTGTTGTTACTAATACATCTTTGATCTCGTTCCACATTGTATCAATATCTTTCCTATTATGTGTTGCAATGTCGTGAAATTTTGTGTTTATTTCTTCTTGCATTTGTTGTTTTACGTTGCTTTGTTTCAGTTTTTGTATGTACACCGTTCTTATAACGCCCGACTTTCGAGTTTTTTTCATCCTTACTCTCAGTTCAGCTAGCAATAAGTTATATATCTAACTCTTACTGTAATATCAAGTAATATATTGGAGACTTGTCAATGTTTATCTAATTTATTTCTATTTATATATTTATAAAGGTCGACATACATGCTTTTACAAATAATGGTTATGATGTGCCACATGACATATCACACAGACGAAATAGAATATATTTTCTGTTGACCTCGACAACCTTTATTGAACCTTAATATAGGGTTACCAACCCACTAGTTACCACTATATTACACCTCTCCATCCCCAAATTAGCGAATTATAAATCAAGTTGTTAAACAGGTTTTATATGACGGCGAGTCTTGTGGAAACTACTGGACAGCTAGCCTTGAAAGGACTATGCTGTATAGAGCTAACCACGTTTTTATTAGCATTAGGATTACGTGCACTCGCGTCAGTCTCTAGCGGTTTTGAACTAACTATTTGCACTTCCGACACTCCCGCTACTTCAGCCGCTTGACTTACATTCCTATATTATAACCATCAGGTGAATCAGGTTATTATACCGCTTACTATACCAGCTCAATACACCACCCAACAAGAAGCGAGAGCTTTGTCGGTACCTTTGATGTTCGTAGGACAGAAATTTTGGAGGGAGAATGACAGTTGCACTACTTAGTACACTAAGAAAAGTAATGAGGAAGTCGTTCAAAACAGTAGTAAAGTTATAGTTACACTGAGAAACAAAGTAATTATTAAAACTAATGTTATTTAAGTACCTAGATCTGTTTTGTATGAATTGTATTTTTTTCTGTAGAATTTAATATCACCCATATAAAATTTAATATAATTCTGTACTGATATGTAAAAAGGTCTTAAGTCAAAAATATTGATTTGTTTTTTTTTTTAACAAACAAATTACCATACAAAAACTATTTTAGTACGTTAAAAAAACGATAAAAAGCGATTGAATTTGAGAGTTAATTTCAAAATAGAGATGAAAATCAGTCGATTTCTATTATATGTATATATATGTATATACAAAATATTTATAACAGTATTATTCTTTTTAACTATTATCACATACTTTTTTTTTATATAACTATACTTTTTAAGGTATTAAAATATGTATATGTATATGTATATACAAAAATATGTATAACAGTATTATTCATTTTTTACTATTAAACAACACACACGAAACAACACTTCTCAATACGTAAACAAATTTCAGTTTTTATAGGTTGACAGATAAACTATTTAAAACATGGCGGATTCTCACAGAAATTTGGATTGCGAAAAAGCCCTTCGACTAGCTTCTTGTTGAGTGGTGTATTCTGTGTATTTCTTCATTCTATCTGCTACGTCAACTCCAATAAATGGTCAAGTTCTGACACCCGTACCATCATGTTTTACCACCCATGTTTGTGTTTTTTAATGAAAAATAAATGGAAACAGGTTAATAAGAAAAATTTTCTGTAATTTTGTTATCAAATGATCTTTTCTATTACTGATACTTAAATACTTGACGTAAGTGAAACATTGTAAACTTAAAATTATATTGAAAAGTGGTGGGTTTTTCGGTCAAAAGTTGGAGAGAAAAAAGACAAAGAAGGTGGCTACTTCATCAATTTATTGAAGACGTTTCGCTTTCTAATCAGAAAGCATCATCAGTTCGTCTAAAAAGAACAATATAAAAAACCAAACATCAATAGAAAAGTAATTATCAGTGTGTTACCTCAAAAAGACATGTAGCTGTCAATAATATTAAAAATGTAAAGAAGCTTACGACATTGGACATTAAATGATTATGTTGTATAAACAATTAATTGAACCTAAATACAGTTTACAAATTAACTCAAACTTAGCACAGCAAAAGACCATGTGGTAATTGTACATGTATATAAAAAGTATGTAAAAAACACTAATTCGCAGAGAACTAACTAAGATCATAAGATCACACTTCCAACTATATATAAATATATATTTTGGCAAAAGAAAAGAACCATTCAAAACGTGTTTTTTTTTTAGAAATGTGTTTCATAAAATCTAGCACATCTTGCATCAACAAAAAGTCCGACATAGACAAATTAAGCAACATTTATTGTTATTTACTAGAAAAACACCAAAAATACAATAAATATTTACCTGTACATAAATTACACCTCTATGTATAATATGTTGCATAATATTAAGACAGGTTTAAAAAGTATAGTCACCTAAAAAGGGCCTCTAGTATTTCTTGAAAAGAAAGATAACATCAATTACACCTAATTACATATTAATTATAGTGTTTGTACTTTCCATTCTCTGTATGAGTTAATATACACCAGTAAAACATGCCATCAACCAAGTTTTAGTATTTTTACAATAAATTTTATAATGTATTATGTCCATAATTGTATATTTTAATGTGTGGTATAAATGTTGAGTGTCAATGCTTACAAAAATAATCTCAACGACTAGTAAGTTACACTGAAGACTTGTGATATTTTTTAAATATTTACATAATTTTCTTTTACAGTGTTTTGAAAAAGGAATAAAACCATTCCGAAAGCTCTACAAAAAGTCAAAAGAGTGTTTTTTTTAACATCACGGCCAATATTCTGACTGCAACCCTAATAAACTGTGTTGTTTGTTTATATCGTCAGTCAATAATATCCAGTATTTCTGATATATATATATATATATATATATATATATATATATATATATATATATATATATATATATATATATATATATAGGTATCAAAAGCCAACACACTCTGGAAGATATTTAAACTTTTTTTCAAATCATCCTACCCATCAAAAGTTTAATACAGTCATTGCAATGAAGAATAAGGTAAGGCCTATTAGTGATGATAAATTCATAAACAAAAACTTAAATTTGCTGTTAAACATCTTTAAAAATAAAGGATATCCAAAACATATCCTTAAAAAATTGATATTTAACTTAGACATATTTGACGGTTCCAGTGATATCGGAGCAGTACAAACAATACAATATAAAAAACTACCATTAATAAAACAGTTAACATCTTCTGACTAGTTTATTTAAACAATTTACTAACATTAAAATTGTCCAATATAATTTATTACAAAACCGACAACTGTTTTCTAAAGTAAAAGACAAGACACCAACTGTAAATAAAACTAATGTTATCTACAAACTGCCTTGTTTGGATTGCCAGAGATGTTATGTTGGCCCAACTTCTCAATGGCTAACACAAAGGGTCACACAACACAAAAGTGACTGCACAAAACGGAAGAATACATGTGCGGCAGTTGATCACTTAAAAACTGGCTATCAATTTGATTACTCAAATGTCAGGGTTCTACAGCAAGAAAATAATTACAAAAAAAGATTGTTTTTGGAAATGTGTCATATAAATAGAGAAAACTATGCAGTAAACTACAAGGCAGACACGGGACAGTTGAGCAACATCTACTGTAATATTCTTAAGATCGCCAAATAATTTTTCTGTTAATTATATTTTCAATCACCCTGTATATTTTGAATGTGTAATTTTATTGTGTTTTAATTGTTTCTTGGTTGTTTTTGTTTGCTCTGTTTTTATATTTAATTACTATTGACCTAGGTGCTTTTAACCAATACTGTCAGTACTGTTTTGAACAAATTATGTACAATCACCTTTTTAAATACTTTCCACTCGAAATCTGTAAGTGATTCATTGTTTCATTCTAAACTGATTTTTATATAACTTTTAATCATATTTTAGTTGTCTCCTGATGAAGCTGACAAAAAATCAGCAAAATATAGAGGATTAAAAGAAAAGAGTTTTTTTTTAATAATAACAGATCGCATACCCGATATTCCAACACAATATTGTTATATATATATATATTATATATATATATATATATATATAACAATATATATATATATCTTATATATATACATATATATATATATTATATATATATATATAATATATATATATATATATATATATATATATATATATATATATAAGAGTAAGAAAAAAGAAGTACTTGTGACTCGCTTGGAAAAAATATAACACTGTTTTTGATGGGTTGGAGTCAATAAAAGGGGCTATTTGTTGACTATTTTTTACTCGAGCTTTCAATTGTGATTACAATTTTTATCAAGAGCTTCTAAAAAATACAAAATGTCTTACAAAGTTGAACTAGAAATAAAAAATTTTTTGTTAACTCACCAAATAAAATTAGTTTTTTATATAAAACTACTGCTTACATATTAAATACAAAAAATATTAATAAAAAAATGTCTTATTCTAATAAATGTTTCTCTGAAAAATTTTAGATGAAGTTTCTTAAGAAAAAAAAAATTGAATTTATAAACAAAAATAGAATAGCTGCAACCAGCCTAAATGTCATAAATACTAACTTAAAAATTTTTATTTTTGACATATTGTCAAAAATAAAATTTTGTTTAAAAAATTCTTCTTTGTTTAGTAACAAAAAAGAAGAAGATTTATTCACCATTGATAGATGACCGAAAAAATGTAACAAATACATGGAAAATTCAAAATGTGATATTTTACTGACTGCATAAATTAAATAGAAATTATATAATTGAATTTCTGACCTTTTGTTTAAATTATTATCACTTTTGCTAATACAAACCATTTCCAAAAAAGTTCTTTTAAATTTATTACTTTCATTACATAAAATTTTAATATTACTAAACAAAGAAGAATTTTTTAAACAAAATTTTATTTTTGACAATATGTCAAAAATAAAAATTTTTAAGTTAGTATTTATGACATTTAGGCTGGTTGTAGCTATTCTATTTTTGTTTATAAATTCAATTTTTTTTTCTTAAGAAACTTCATCTAAAATTTTTCAGAGAAACATTTATTAGAATAAGACATTTTTTTATTAATATTTTTTGTATTTAATATGTAAGCAGTAGTTTTATATAAAAAACTAATTTTATTTGGTGAGTTAACAAAAAATTTGTTATTTCTAGTTCAACTTTGTAAGACATTTTGTATTTTTTAGAAGCTTTTGATAAAAATTGTAATCACAATTATTGAAAGCTCGAGTAAAAAATAGTCAACAAATAGCCCCTTTTATTGACTCCAACCCATCAAAAACAGTGTTATATATATATATATATATATATATATATATATATATATATATATATATATATATATATATATATATATATATATATATATATATGAAACCTAGAGCTAAGAAAATATACATATCCCCGACAGCACAGGACATCCCTGGGACGTCCATTTTATGTCGTTTTAAGGTCCAAACGTCCCGGGACTTCTTTTGGACGTCCGAGGGACAACCAAGGGATATTTCTAGTCGGACATACCAGAGACGTCCCATAAGGTCGTCCAAGGGACGTCCCATTAGGGATGTATTAGGGACGTTTTCTAGGTGTTAACTGTGTCATTTTTTTACTTAAGCATATTTTTTACAAAATATAAACTTCCTACTAAACTTTATTTTAAAAAGTTATATTTAGTTTTAAATACCATTAATTTATACGAAAACAGACAGAGGCTCCTTTTAGAGAAAAATCTTTATCCTGTAGCAGAGCTGTATCTCTAAAATTTTGTTCTGTAGTGGAACTGAAATTTAAAAATTAGGAGATAAAAGAAGAATGTGGTTATGTTTTAACGACGCTTCTATTTATCTCGTTTATTTCTCGAATTATAATCATTGTGGTTGTGGTTGTAATTAGAATTAGTTTATTGCTTTCGATACTAGTTTATAGTTTGGTAATTTATTATTATAGACATTAAGTAGGTATATAGGACTTTTATAGGTAATTTTTGTGGTTGTGGTGTGTTGCTACATTTGTAAAGTAAGTAGGAGTAATGTGCTTAAAAAATACTATAAATTTAAATACATATAGTAATATAAGTACACAATAAAAATCCCATTTATTTTTGCTTTTTATTTTATTAATTTTAAGTTCCCTTTAGGTCCTGTATACATCCTCATTTAGGTGCTATATTAGTCCATGTGGACGTACAATAGATGTCCCCAATACATCCTTCTTAGGTCCTATATAAGTCCGTATTAAGTTCTGTATATGTACTATGTACGTCCCCATGAACATCCCTGGAACGTCCAGGGGACGTACTTTTTGGTAACATTTAGGTCTTATTGGACGTCCCGGGGACGTCCAAATTATGTAAACGGATGTCCGTGGGATGTCCGTACATTTAATGAGGTACATCCTTTGGACGTCCATGGGACGTACTTGTGCTGTTTGGGATAATACTCAGTGACAGTAGTGACAGCGCAGTGATCAGTGAACAGTGTAGTAGTGTCTGGGTTCTCGGGAGACTGAGACCTCGGAAGCCCTGAGGAAGGCATCAGAGAGGAAGCCGAAAGCTCGACAAAATGGATATCGACGCGGTTCAACCCGGAAGACTGGTGAGTTTGATATTAATTTTAGTAATAATATCGCGGAATATACTAACCGCGGAAATCTTTCCGAACATATATATATATATATATATATATATATATATAATATATATATATATATATATATATATATATATATATATATATACATATATATATAATATATATATATATATATATATATATATATAAATATATATATATATAAATATATATATATAAATATATATAAATATATATATATATAATATATATATATATAAATAAATAAATATATATATATATATATATATATAAATAAATATATATATATATATATATATATATATATATATATATATATTTAAGAAATACTGGATATTAGTGACTGTCGATATAAATAAACAACACAGTTTATTAGGGTTGCAGTCAGAATATTGACCGGGATGTTAAAAAACACTCTTTTTACTTTTTGTCTAGCTTTCGGAATGGTTTTATTCCTTTTTCCACTGTAATAAGACAAATATGTAAATATTTAAAAAATATCACAATTCTTCAGTGTAACTTACTAGTCGTTGAGATTATTTATAAAAGCATTGACACTCAACATTTATAACACACATTAAAATATAAAATTATGTACAAATTACATTCTAAAATTTTTAAAATTTATGGTAAAGATAGTAAAACTTAGTTTATGGCATGTTTTACTGGGGTGTTTTAACTCATATGTATAGAGAATGGAAAGTAAAAACACTGTAATTAACAGGTAATTAGGTGTAATTGATGTTATCTTTCTTTTCAAGAAATACTAGAGGCCCATCTTAGGTGACCATACTTTTTAAACCTGTCTTAATGGTATGCAGCATATTATAAGCTATATATAAGATAATATGCTACAATAGAACAATGATATATTGGCTATTTATAAGCCGAAAGCGCTCAGCTAGGAAATAAGTTATTGTTTACACACTTCAAAAATACATTAATTTTCCATTTTTTGATATGTAAATTGTGCTTTTTCCTTTTTTTCTTTTTTACTTGTATTTGATATCCTATAATGTGTATATGATAAAATTTGAGATTTTTAAATTTAAATTAAACCAATTATACTTTAGTTTCAGATATGGATGTAGCACTAATCATCAACCTCTTCATTTCTGCCACGCTCATATCGCTGTCCAGATCTGAGCCAATTTGCATCGTCGATACCAGCGACACTTCAAATCTAGTTTGCAAAGATGTTTCAACAGACTTTCCGGATAATATGTACTACGGCAACAAAAACCTACAGTGTTACAAATGCCACATAAAGGTCTTTTCGTCGTCAACATTTAAACACGACAATGTCCTGTTATCCATAAATATATCGCACAGCGGGTTACAAGCTATACAACCATCTGCTTTCAAGCATTTGGGAAACCTCCAGAACATCTATTTTCAAAATAACATGATTACCAACGTATCAGTGGGGGCTTTTGAAGGGTTAAGACAAGTGTATGAAATAAATCTGAAGAATAACTTAATTGCTGATTTAACCCCAGGTTTTGTGCGCGATCTTGAAGTGACCTATTTATCTTTGGCCAATAATAAACTAACGGAAATTCCAAATTATGCTTTCAAAGATGTTGTGGTTATCACCAATTTGATTCTTTCTCAAAACAAAATAAAAAAGATTAACTATGATTCGTTTTCGGGTTTAAATTTCTTAGAATACCTAGAACTGGACAATAACAATTTGTGTTACATCCCTATAGGTGCATTTAAGAACCTCAAAGACCTAAGCTATCTTAATTTAGCAAACAACAAGCTCAGCAGATTTTCCCTGGGCACCTTTTCTGGTTTAACTAGTCTTACAGCTTTAATTTTAGCAAATAACTCCATCAAGAACTTCGAAGGTAATGAGTTGCTGCCTATGCAGAGCCTACTGAGGTTGGATATTAAAGGAAATAGCATTTACTACCTAGACGCCCACCTTATTTTCTCCGCAGCTCCTACGATAAAAGTCATAAGTATAGAAGATAATTTCTACAGCTGTAGCTCCTTGGCGAACATTATCCGATATTTTAAAGAGAAGAAAGTGAAAATCGAGACCCATACTGGTTTCTACGATATTCAAAACATCAATGGTGTTGCATGTATTGACGGTATTGTTGAGGAAGTGACCGACAAAGCGAACTTTCTAAGAAGGGCTTCCGATGAAGCACAAACGTCTGTTATTTATTGTGTTTAGATATAAATATTTATTTAAATTATAAATATTATTAGTTTTGTTCACGAATAGGATTTTAAACGATTTACCTGTCACCTGTCAAATCCCCACTTCTCGTTGGTACGTTCTATATCAGTGAAAGATGAGGTCTATTGGGTGTATATTTCTTTGTCTGTTTTTTTTTCTCAATTGAAGTTGGTATCCATCGTTTGAAGTTCTTCTCTATCTTGGGCTAATATAATTAATGTCGACGAATCTCTTATGTGGATTCATTGTTCGTGTTACTTCTACGTTAACTATTTCTTCAACCTAGTAATATTTTTTGAAAAATATAGATAGCGTCATTTAAAATAAGTTAAACTAACAGTTGTTTCATTGAACCGATTTTCAAAGTCTAATGTTTCATTCGAACGAAAAAAGTCTAAATCAAATATAGATATCGGATTTTTGTGTTTCTAGCCATTTCATTCTAGCTCTAATTTGTTCAAACGGGTCCCACTAGTAGTTTAATTAATCTACAAGTTGCTGAAATATATACAATTCTACATTGAAAGAATCCGGCCTATTCTTTCTCAACTTTTTAGTAGATCTTATAGATTATTATTAAATATTACTGTCTAAGGATTATTGAAAAATTCTAAATAAAGAATAAAGAGACACGAAAACAGTACACAATCTTCCCTAATTCCTGCTAATAATTTAGGTTGTTTCATCGCCAATGTTCCAATACAAGATTTTAGTTATGGTGATGATACTCTGTGATGTCTTGGTAACTGTGGGATCAAGAGTTATTAAGACTGGAATATTCTCATTATTGATCTTCCGTTGTCATGTGCTTGATTGATAATTTTTTCTACCTTGTCTTTATTTTGCTTATTGTTAATTATTTAGTCATTATGTCTACGTAGCGTTCATTTTCAAAATACTTTTGATCGACCTTAACAAAATGTTCACACAGTTTCTTCTGGTTACCTACACTTACTGTGGCAAATTCCTCTTTCACTGTAAAATAACTAGAAATTAATATTGTTTTTCAATTACATATTTTATTTGCACTCAAACCAGTTCTGTAGAGTTCAGGTCAGGATATTATGGGGGAAGATAAAGAAAGATGGTACACCAGATCAGCGCTAGAGATATGTTATATCTGAACGGTGGGATAAATCGTTGGAAAAACCTATTCCTGTGTACTTATCTAATAAATTTAAGACGAAATGGGACAATTTGTACAATATTTTTGTATTTCTTTAGAAAACAGAGATTCTGTAAAAAGACTGTAGTTAAGGTATATGATATTTATACTTTATTATAGATTTGCCTAAACGTGTATGATATTTGTTTTATGAATATTACTCGTCATTAAAGTCACATAGTAAATAGTTGATGTATTATTGTTGCCTAAAATCACGGTTTCTTAATGTTATTTTAATATTCTCTATCAGCTTTCACAGTATTGAAAATTGAAACCTAGAACCCTACTTACACAGAAATGCGTTGACTATGCTGTTAAATCATCTTACCGTGAAGTAGTGGTTCTAGCGGTTCCGAGAAGGTTCTTTGAGAACGATTAGAGGGATCCCTAACCAATGATGGAGAGAACCCAGAGGAACTCGAATTCCAGACAGCAGATGAATTAATCATCATAAAAATCAATGAAATTAAAAAAAAAAACCTATGAGAAATTTAAAAAATTTTCCAGTAAATAAAGAAGAAACTTATAGATCGATCAGTAAGAAATTCGAGACTGTTTGTCAAGAATTCAAATCATTTTCGAAAATGATTGAAGAGTCTTTGTAAAATAATAAACAACAGATCGACCAAATGTATAAAAATCATATGATTTCAAAGGAAAAGAAACTAAAATAGAAATTATGATAACTAATGGGATTCCGGTGATAGATCTATTATCAAATAAAGCAGAAAGATGCGAGGTAGTTCCAGATCCAATAATGAAGAAAGAATGGACAAAAGAAGAATCAACACATTGAAGAGACGGCCAACCATTTTGAAGAAAATGCTACTTTCTTGACTGAGGGTTTGCGAAGTGATGCAACTGACATTTTAAAATTGATTCCTAAAGGCCAAGAAAAATTGTTATCAAACCTTATTTCATCAACTGGACAGTACTATGTAAATGCCCATCTACAACAAGTCTAATTTGCAAGTACAACTTCGAAGTGGAATTCAGTGTGCAAGGAAGAACTTGCAGGAATTTGTAATAAGCTGAATTAGATCAGATCAGGAACTAATGTATTTTGTAGGAAATCTAGATATAACGTCCCAGTTAAATTTTCATCAAAAAAATATGGACCAAAATTGTATTTTGGTCCATATTTTTATATTTAGTCATGGCTGCGAAATATTCGAGACTGGACAAACATGACTGTAGACGAATTATTCCACGTTGCAAAAGACAGAGAAGCTTTTAAAAATGTGGTCGCCAACCTCCGTTAATGGGGACGGCATAGGAAGAAGAAGAAGAAAATTGTATTTCGCACAATACCAGCCCATACGTTCGTTTTTTGTGGTTTTTGCGTGTGGGGCACTTGCATCCAGTGTAGATTTTCATCAGACCAATAATGGGCGTTTTGCCGGTTAATATGACCGTTCAAATGAAACGTTACCTCGTCCGAAAATAAAACGTTATCAATGAAATTGTTAGGTTGGTTCCACAAATCATCTACCTCGTTGGTTCATCATATACTCGCATAATTCAGTTCTTCGGTTAAAGTCGTCTTCATCCAATTCATGGTTAAGACGTACTTTATAAGGATGGTATTTTACCTTTTTAAAAACGTTTGATACTGAAGACTTTCCAACACCAAAATCCCTAGATACTTCTCGCACTGTACAGTGTGGATTATGATTATGGAATATTTTCATTAATTTTTGGTCTACCTTGCTTTGCTAGATCCCTCACATGGTCTAATTGTTTGTATTTTCGCTCTATTCTGCTTACCGTAGATTGTGAAATAAGTTCACAATCTGGCTGCCTTTTATGAAAAAAATTTCATACTTGAGTCCGAATCTTATCGCCAATACCAATCATAATTGATATTTCAATTCTAATCACTTTCGGTTAGACATTTTGTAACAAAAGTTGCAAATGATAAATTGCTTGAATCGTTTTCACGTAAACGTACCTTCTGTAAAGCGTTAACAATACAGACTTTTATCATTCAGGGGCTTGGATCACTAATAAGGATAAGGAAAAGCTGTTAGATACAATGTTACAAATAATGAAATGTGTTTATTAAGTCGTTGTAAAACAATATGAAATTTCATTTAATGTGTTTAATACCTTTATTCTTTATTTATTATTTTGTAAGTATCTTGGAATTTTTCCACTTTGTACCAATTTTGCAGCAACGTGTTATAGATTTTTGGAATCAGCTCAGCAGAGAAAAACTATAAATTGAAAAAATGGGCATTCCATTTAACAAAAAAAATTGTGATTTTGGTGGTCCATTTATATATAGACGTCTTTTAGGGAGTTTAAATCAGGTGTTAGCTATTACAAGGATGTTTTCTTGACAGAATTGGATGGATCTAGTATATCTGTCACTCCTAGAACCAAGTTTTTGCATTGCAGTCACACGCGAAGATTTTTATGTCGTTATTTTTCATGTATTTCAAGGTAAAATTCTTTGAGCTATTCCTCGGCGCTATACGTAGTTAGTACATAGACTTGGTCTATATCAAATGACTGACCGTTTAGTTTGAGCAGCAATAATCGATCACTGTTTGGTAAAAACCTCTTAACGGATTTTGCGACTGCCGCAGTAACTAGAATTCCATCACAATTTGGAGGTGTCTCTCTTCCTGAGTAGAAAAAGCTATTGATCCTTTTTGTTGCCATCTCATCTTACTCATGCCTAGTATATCCCAGTTCATTCTTTTTAGCTCGCTCTCTGCATTGGGTAGTTTGTCTGGTTTGTATAATGTTTTTATATTCCATGTAGATATTTTAATTTGCCATCCGGGGATTCTTAGCACCCACTGACCATTGAAGAGGACTAGAGGCCAAATTCTGATTCTGTATTGCCATTCTGATTTGCTTGGGAAAATAATACAATGATTTCCTACCTGCCTTTCGCATCCTAGCTGCTGACCGATTTAGGCTGTTGGAACCTTTAAGATATTGTCATTTTAGGGCAAAATGGTGCCCAGGTTAGGTAATGCCATCGAGGCAGCATAGTTGCCATGTCACGATACTCTCCTTTGATTTTTGTAGCAAGGACCAAGAGAGACCTGTGACAACCCAGTATAAATAATTTTCACAGTTTAAACCAGTAAGACGCGATTCAGTAAGTTCTGAAATGAAGTCCTTGAAAAAAAAAATTAACAAAGACAACAGAAACTTTTTATTTTTTGTAACATTTTTCAATATTTATTTAGAAAAAATCACAAACCTACATTAAATTATCATTCATTGTTTTCATTTTTTCTAGAAAATATAGCTTCCAAAATCCAAAGCAGCACACACGCACAAGACAAGATTGATGAAGTGTGAAGTGCTGGTACATAAGAATTAAAATGATCATGAATGGAACCTAAAAAATAAATCATTTATTAGTCTATCAATATTTGTTTATTTCATCCAAATATAATAAGTTTTTTACACAGTAATGAAGGAAAAACATAATGAACAGATATTTTTATTGTACCGGGTGGTCCAATAAGCAGATTGCTCGGCTATATATTAGAAACTATTCATGTTATAACTTGGGGAGAAAAAATTCCTTAGTAAAAGTGACCAAAAAAAATCGCTGGAAATAACTTTCAAGTTTCTGGGTTAACCGCTAGGGGCGTAATCTGTGAAGAAAAATTTGAAAACCAGTTTTTTGTAAAATATGCCCAATTATACCAAGTGTTAAATAAGTGAACTAGAAAGAGGGCTAAATTCCGCACAAAGTTGTTCAAGTACTTTTTTTTTATTTTTTCAAATAAAGGGTGGGGGAGGGTGGCAAAGTATTTGTGGATAAATACCTATAACTTTGGTTTGGATCAACCGATTTTAACGAAATTAGTGTCATTAGAAAGAGTGTGGATAATTTAATCTACATCTACTATAAAACAATTGCATTCAATCTTAATTGTCATGGGTAGAGGGTACTTTCAAATAGAAAAAATTAAAATTTGTTTTTCTTTAAAATGTTTAATGGAAACACCTATTTATTGTTAATTATAACTGAACTGGATTAAATTCGTAACAAAATGGCACAAACCGCATGTTGATAGCTTTTGTGAAACTCGAGATATGAATAAAAACGCATAAACATAAGTATAGTATTGACTCACCCTTCACCCATAACTTAAAATTAAATATGTGAAAGAATATACAAATATCTCGATCATTAAAACTTAATGTCCAATTAAATGTTCAAATTGTTTTCCATCGTTAAACACACAAAGATGTAATCTTTCGCGCGTAGACATAACAGCTGCTTCAATCTCAGCTGTTGATATATTATTTATTGCGTTTATAATGCGCTGTTTCATGTCATCTCGTGTTTTTGGTCGAGTTTGGTACACTAAGTCCTTCAATCTTCCCCACAGATAAAAGTCCAGACATGTTAAGTCTGGAGATCTAGCTGGCCATGAAAATATACTTCCCCTTCCAATCCATTTATTTGGATAACTTGCATACAAATAATCTCGAACTAGTCTGGAAAAGTGCGCAGGATACCCGTCATGTTGTAGTATCATATCTCTTCTTGTTTGTAAGGAAATATCTTCCAATAAAACAGGCAACTGATTTTCCAGAAAATTCAAATATGTTTCGCCATTTAAAGTTCTATCAAAGAAATATGGACCTACGATCTTTCCATTAACTATACCACACCAAACATTAAGACTCCATCTACCTTGAACCTGCATTTCATGTATCCAGTGCGGATTTTCTTCAGCCCAATAATGCATATTATGCAGATTAACACCACCCGCACTATTAAACGTAGCCTCGTATGTCCACAAAATCTTTGACAGGATATCCGGTTGTTCTTCTAGCAGACCTAACATCCAATTGCAGTAATGCAGCCTTGCATCAAAATCTCTCTCATGTAAAGCTTGGTGGAGAACTACATGATAAGGATGCAGTCTAAAAAACAGAACAACAAATATTGGTGAAAAAGAAACCACTACATTTACTAAAACTCAAAAATCTTAAAAAATCCAAAATTGTTTCACAAGATAAATCGTGCATAAGTATTTTTAGGAAACGGATAAAATGATAAAAGCGCCGTGTTGCCGTTTTTATCGGAATATTAAAATAACAGTTGAATCTAAAGTTTAAAGGGAATTCCAAGTTTCTGACCTAAACGTTCACTTTATAGTATGAAAAACCAACCTGTGATGTTTTAAAATCCTTAGAACAGTAGTTTTGGGTATGTTTTAATTCTATAGAGATTTGCCGACTACTTATATGTGGATTCTGTTGAATTAAAGCAAGAACATTGATTGATTATCTTCGGTCATACCTCTACTACGTCGTTTAAAACAAGGACGATGAAAACTACCAGTTTCTCTTAATCTTCTTGCCTTTCTTTCAAATACTTCTTTGCCATAATGTCTCCTGTCAGGATATCTTACAGAATATATACATGAGGCAATAGCGGCATTTTGGTGACATTCGAAATAAACTCCAATCATATCATACAATTCTGCATTGGATATACTCATCCTGAATTATTAGTACTGATAATTAATTACTAATATTACCAATATTAATATCTATTGAAAAAGTGCAATCTTCAATTTGAATTATAATATAACACCTCTTAACAATGTTTTGACTGCTGTCAATAAATAAACAATATGATCTCCCCGTCAAATTCATTGTCGTAGCCTACTTAGTTTCGAAAAAACTATTTTTAATCATCTGAAATAACAATGGTCAAAATGGATATCAATATTAAGATTCTTCTGCTATAAAAAAATTTGAAAATACCTACTGACTTATTTTTTAATTTAATTTATAATACAGGGTGAGTCAATACTATACTTATGTTTATGCGTTTTTATTCATATCTCGAGTTTGACAAAAGCTATCAACATGCGGGTTTTGCCATTTTGTTACGAATTTAATCCAGTTCAGTTATAATTAACAATAAATAGGTGTTTCCATTAAACATTTTAAAGAAAAACAAATTTTAATTTTTTCTATTTGAAAGTACCCTCTACCCATGACAATTAAGATTAAATGCAATTGTTTTATAGTAGATGTAGATTAAATTATCCACACTCTTTCTAATGACACTAATTTTGTTAAAATCGGTTGATCCAAACCAAATATATATATATATATAATATATATATATAATATATATATATATATATATATATATATATATATATATATATATATATATATATATATATATATATATATATATATATCTTACATTCACTGGCACAACTCCATTAATGTATGTCAAAACTTCGAACAGCGTTGAAGATTTGATTGTAGAGCGGTTATTAATGGATAATTTTAAGTCACGTCCAATCAACTACTACATTTTTTTATTTGATTCAAGGCACTTGTCTTTTATTTTTAAAATATGCTCTCCTTCCGAGTCTTGCATCAAAAGTGATTTCCAGATGTTTTACACAGAATTAAATACCATTTACCCCACACTTTTAAAGACATTTTAAACTGAAACAACACTATCAATATCCTACTACTACGTTTGCTTTTAAAAGACTTACCGTTCCGCTAATAACCTTAGGTTAAAGGGAGTTTTTGTAAATATAAAAATACACATTTAATTCCCATTGAAAAAACAGATATTGGGAGGTCTGTGTTACTCAAACTAACTGGAAGTTAGGTACAAAAAAAAAGAAATTTCAAAATATAAATGGTTTCAAATACTAAGATATTAAATTTAATATTTAATTTCAAAGAAAGTTGATGTTACATCAAACCATGCCAAGTTGACGATATTTTCTAGTAATTCAAAACCAATATTTTCTTTTATTTTATTTCAGTCAATTTCACACTATATGTCTACAACTTCATGTATGAAATTTGTATTTGAGCTATTATTAACAAATTTGCTGGTTTTCTAGTAATTAATTTTTTTTATACATAGGTATATGTGATACACTTATATCAACCAATCATTACATATATCATAAAGATTAATAAATTAATTTTGAGATTTATCGTACGTATTATATCGCTTACGATACGGGTAACCTCGCACGCTATCTTATGCATTATCTTTGTCTATCTTATGCACTACACATACCTCTTATAACTTAATAAAGGTTATCATCAGATATACCTAATATATCCGATGAAAACCTTAACCATAATATCTGTAAACAATATAATGAACATATTTTCTATAAACGTACAATTGTCTTTGTTAAAACTTTAAGTAACCTGACGACGGCCCTGTTGTCTTTTGCATGGCGCAAGCATGGCTTGGCGACATCTTGTCGCTAAGGGAAGATCATGAAATTCCCTTTACGGCATATTTTTGAAGGTACATAGCTACCCAACCAACCCTCATCCGGCATTGATTCTGTTTCAAATCATCGATGTAATAACATGTGTATTAGTTATATTTGTAATATTTTTTAATTGCATTATTACAAACAATTAAGTTTTTTCTATATTATAACATTGACATAGAAGTATTAAATTGTTTCATCTATGGTCTTCAGTTTTTTACTAAAACCACGGGAAGTTCACAAAATATTTAGCAACAAGTAACTGGAAGAACTAAAGATTCCCGTTTTCCACTGAACAGTTACACAACAACAGTCTTACCTATGAGAGGACCAATGGCTAAAGATACAGCTCCAGTAAAAAACATCTGCAGACCATTAGCAGCCACAAATTTTTCCAGGGGGACTAGCTTTGGAATTATAACCGACTGGTAGACGGCTCTCAAACCTTTTGTAGCTCCAATTATGCAACACGCAGCATAAGCTGCTGTGAAAGAGTGGGCGTATGTAGCAAGTACTAAAAAAAACAAAAGTGTGATACTTACAGTATGGAAATAATAGTACATAATCTACTTCAGTTCTTCCCCAATGATTCACTTTAGAACTAATGTGGCCGAGTTTAAACTGACACTTATCGTACAAGCAATTATCGTCAAAGTTTGGTGCAATTGAGACTGCTAACTAGGTCTTGACTATCTAACAGTTCTAACTCTTCACTGTTCATATGGCCATGAAGTTGTTCGTGACCCTTTGCAATCTTCTTTATTTCTTCTGTAATCGTTTCCAAGAAAAGTTTCCGATTAAGGTCTTGCGGATATACAGGTCTTGGACTCTTTGAATGCAACCAACGTTACTTTTACTAGTAAAACCATCGGATCATACTAGTTTGAGTATTTGTTTGTATATTAATATCTTGCTTTGATTGTAACTTTTGAGCAAAAACTCATAATTTAACTATATTCCACTTTCTTTTTACTTTATTATTTTTTATGGTTAACATTTTTCGTAACAGTGATGCCACAAGAGTATAATAACTACAGTATTGGTCCCAGTACACTGCCCTGTGGGATCCAGGCTTTGATCAGCCTTTGAACTGAATATTCGCTATCTGTAGGTTCTTATGTAGGTTAAAAATGTCATGTTTATGTTTTAGAAATTATATTTCAATGTGTTGGTTTTGAAGTTACAACTCTTTTGCTTCTTTGATCTTCTGAGAATGGTTATACTATTTCTTTGTCTTTTTACTGTTTTTTATCTATTTTTCATTCTCATTCACGATTGCTTCTTTATACTTCTCCCTACTTTCAGTTTGCAGTCTACTACTAAATTACATGTATTTTTTATTGTATTCTATAAATCATCTACACTTACGTTCCCTTGATTATTATCCTTGACCATGTTGTTCATTTTGTTGTTGAGTTCTCCTTTGACTTCTTCTTTGGCGATGTTATCTTTTAACCTCTGGATCTATGTTTTTGAACTTTGTTTTTACAGACTTTTTTCATGTGTAGCTTAAACCCACCCAGCAAAAGATTATGGTCTGAGAAAACATCCGGTCCTGGATACGTTTTATGAAATTTTGAAATCTTTTGTTTATAATTGTTATGTAAGCCTGGTTTTTGATAACTTTTCGGGGAGTCAGCTGGAGATTTTCAGGTATAGAGTTTTTGAGACAGTAAGTAGAAAAAAATGTTCATTATCACACTGTGTCTTTCTTCATCACACTGTATCTCTCTATTATTCCCAAATCCATATAAATGCATAAATATGTAATGGATCTGGCTCTGGATTTCCCTTTTTCTGCAGGGGCAGCACATTTCCAAGAAACCTATCAGTCCTTATTACTTAAAAAAACAAATACTGGTTTCTAAAATTCCTACTTCTAGAAATATCGCTTTCTATTCTCCATCTAGAATAAAACTCTTCACTGTTCGCCAGAAATTCGACGATCCGCCTACCTGTTATATAATATAAGGGCAGTTGCAGAATAAATTTAGAGAATCCATGTTTAATTTCTGGGTACCTTAGCAAAACAATCGATTGCTTAAGATGTTAAGTAATTGTGAACCCACCCTTAAGATATGAAAACTAATTGATTATAGATATTATGCAGCTATTATTTTTATGACATCCTGCATAATAAAATATAAAATAAGATTTAAGGGGAATAGCTAATATCAATGTGCAAACTTACTAGTCCTAGCTCCTGTAGCAGCTATTAGAGCACCTGCATAGACCCATTTCGGAGGTGCATGAATACTGTGGCAAGCAAATGGGAGCACCAATCGCCCCAGTATGTCAAAAATAAACTGTACTGAAGTTATATTAGCTACATCGGTTCGACTAAATTTGGACAATTCCGGAAGTACGAATTGCATCATCAAAACCATGTTAAGCTCAGCTGCAAATGAAACCCCCAGCGAAAATATGGCTATTATAAATGATGGTTTTTTGAGCAGCTCCAAGTCAAAGACGTTTATTAATTTCAGTAGTACTGGGTTTCGTTTGATTGGCTGAGTAGTTTCTTTATAAACGTTACTTGAGTCTTCGTTAGTATAGATTGGCTAGAAAATAAATTATGATCAGCGAAATAACAGAAATATTTTCTCGAAATTCCATCCAATGAAGTTATAAATTTAATAAAAACAAAAATAATTGAAGCTAAAAAATATAAATAAATGAATAAAGATAAACTAAACATTGCCCTTTTTTATCGATTAACTGCATTTTTAAGGAATATGATATTTGTAAAATTAGGCTACAGTAGGACTATCATTAATATTGGAAAACTTTGCACATCATAACTACTGTAACCACACAGAAATTATGCTCCTAACTGCAGCGTATAAAATATTCTCCACTATATTATACCATCGTATGGCACCATACGCAGAACGAATAATAGGAAAATATCAGGCTAGCTTCAGAGGTGGTAAATCGACAAACCAAATCAGATTGCAACCATGAGACAAACTTAAGAAAAAAAAACTGGAATATGGCATATATACTCACTACACATTTACAGACTACAAGGCAGCCTACGACTCTGTAAATAAATGAAAGACTTTGAGTACCAAATCAGTTGCAAATTTAACAAAACTAACCCTTAAAGAAATTAAATATAGAGTACGGATTCAGTTTCTTTTCTCTCTCATGTATATTGTTCAATTTGGCTCTAGAAAAAGTAATACGTATTTCACAAATCACAACCACCGGTTCAATATGTAGTAAATCAATTTTGTGGGGCGAACGGAAAATGCTGTACAAGAGCTGTATTTAGCACTAACAGAAGCGACTACAAAAATGGGCTTAATGATAAACGAAATACGACCACTTGTTATAAAAAACGAATTTAACGAATTTGAAAACGCTCGTCATTACTGAAGCTAACACTATCGCAGAGATAAATCGCAAAATTTGCACGACCAATAGGTACTATTTTGGGCTCAATTTCCTTATTAATTCTCAATTATATCTAGGAATACAATAAAATACCAATTTTACCTGACTAGTTTCCAATTTGGTCAATTCTTCAGGATGTTCCACTTTTTTCCTTTGGATGGGCCTCATTAAGAAACATCCGACATACGACAGAAGAGATAATCCGAATAACACTAAAATTGTATATTTTCTTCCTACCTTACTAACTAAAATATCACATAATTTGGGAGAAACGATAGAAAAAATACTAGCACCAGTAGTTGATATGCTAACAGCTAGAGTCAGTCTTTTTTTGAAGTACGAGTTTGTGGCCAGGTACGTGGACGGCATTAGGATTCCTTGTCCAATACCTACAAAACATGACAATAGTACGAGATCAAATACGAGAGTGAAAACTCACATTTTTACATATATTTAAGAATAGGAGAATACATTGATAACAGGTTACCAGTCAAAAAATGGCTGCAAATATATATATATATATATATATATATATATATATATATATATATATATATATTATGTTATGCTATTTAAATTGTATTCTATTGCTTATTTAGAAAAGATCCTGTCTATATTTATTAAATGATCTAATCTCCAATTAATCACAATAAATCAGCATTAATTAATTACAATCTCAGGCTATTTAACTTGTACTATTTACCTTTGATCGTGGATTCAAAATATTTTCCAATTGGCTTCCTAATTGGGATAGGTAATATGACCTGAATAAAATACACAGAATTTCAACTGAACTATATGTGAGATGTCCTTTATTTTAATGAAATTTTATATGACAATCAATGCTGTAATATTTGCAATATAATACTTTAAATATATGAGAAGTTGTTTTCTATCATGGACCCAAATGTTATTTTACATTGATTTTTTTATATGTGTTATAACTAAGCTCTCTTTATAATTTTTTTCTTTAAATGATCGCAAAATTAACTGTCTCTATTATTTATTCAATTTATTTAATTAATAAATGAAAACCAAACTCCTGCTCTAATGAAAATTGACTGACCTTTCGTTGTCTGCCGTTGTAATTCTATGGCCACGCCATAAAAAAAAACCTTTCTCTGCTTCTGCTCCTATTGTGGTCCAGATGACGTACACCTTTCTCCTATCTGTCCTTGTATCTGCAACCCAACAACTCGTGTAATTCTATGCAGCCTCCTTTTGAGCGAATCTCCGCGCCTGTTTATAACTTCAAATGTTTCCGGCTTCGTCTGATATTAATATTCTTATACCCTTTGGTTTTTCTATCTCTCTGTACCCCGTTCCTCACACTGATCAGCTTTTACACAGCAAATAAACACACCCGGTAAATTACGTCTTCGGGACTTCAAACAAACCACAAAGCTCCTTCCTTCTTGGGCGACGAAAACTGACTAACTAACTTTTTTCCTCTCTCCTATCTCATAGCCAAAACCACTACCTCCATTGCATTCAAAAATTGACCAATAAAAATCATCCACCTCTGTGACGTATATCGTTACCAACCAACTCTCTTTATAAAACATCATTCGGGTAATTCCAGAAAACAACATTCTTTAATTATTCTAACTAAATCTATCTGCTTTACAAATATTTCTTACTAATAGCTACAAACGATACCTGTTTCTCAATTCAATGTCTTTTGTTAATAAACTTTTACCGATATAATCTTTCGGGGAGAAAAACCACCGCAAATCCCGGTCTATTGTTTAAACACTGTCTATATACACTTTTATTCTGGGTAAATCCATTCCACAATAACCGACTTATTTAAATTTCTTATCGATAATATTTGAAAGTCTTGTCTCTGAGGCTAATGAACAATTCTTCGAACAACTTAAAATACATATTTTGTCTTATACAGGATGTTTGAAAATTTATATGCCCGTGTCTTTATGAAATATCAATAATTTTAATTTTTATTTAAGTAATAAAATTTGTATATCGGTTTTTTATTGCTAATGGACATTCAAAAGTACAACAATATATATATATATATATATATATATATATATATATATATATATATATATATATATATATATATATATATATATATATTGACGACAGTCAATTTTGATACAAAATGTATTTCTTTATGATAGTGGAGGTTTATCAGTTAAAAGGTGGAGAATAAAAAAATATACTGCTACTTCATCTTTTATTTGAAGACGTTTCGTTTATAAGTCTAAAAACATCATTCGTTCAACTTAAATTAGCCAAATGAGCATACATTCATAGAGAAAAAATTTACCTTAAGGGGTATATAGCTCACAAATAATGGACATGAAGTAAAAACTCAACTTATGAACCATATAAAACCATATAAATTTAAAACGTTCAGTTTTTTTAAAAGAAAACTAAACTAAGTCAATTTTAATAAATATAAGTTAAAAACTGCAATGAACAGAGGTATAAAATACAGAATACTTTTCGACAGGGAGCACAAACAGAATTCCAAAAATACTGATAGTGTTCAACATTAATAAGTCTTAAATTTAACTTTAGGTAACATCATTTTAAACAACGTTTTCAAAATCAGTAAATATACCATGCTGTCTATAGGTACGGAATAAATTCATTTTTAGCGTTATTAAGTACTATGTGAAAAAAACCTGAAACAAGGTCAATTTTTATTCTTAAATTGACAATTTACAGTATGAAAATATTATACCCCTCCATCACCCCCTTTGAATTATAAGCACCCACTCAAAAATTTTAAATCACAAAATGAAAAATTTTGATGTCTCTATCACAAAACTTTAGGTTTAATGAAGATATTAATGGCACAAAATATTTAGAATGTATTTTTTAATGTACTTTACAATTAAATTAAATGTTCAAAATGACCACTATTCACTTATTGACAATAGAGGCGATTTTGGAATTATCGTGCAACATTTTGTACGACTCCGGGAGTTATTTTGTTAATTTCTTCCGTTATCCTAACTTTTCAATCAGCAATACTGTTTGGTCTATTAAAATATACTTTAGATTTTAAATAACCCCATAAGAAGTAATCGAGAGAAGTCAAATCGGGGGATCTAGCCGGCCATTCGATCGTTCCACGTCTTCGAATCCACCTATTGGGAAAAACCTCGTTTAAATAATTTCTTATTATAAGTGCAAAATGAGGTGGAGCTCCATCTTGTTGGTAGTAAATAGGTCGATCTATCTCATTTTAATGATTAACATTAGGAAAAAATCTTCGTAATGTAGGCACTAAAAAGTTATTTAAAAAATCTAGATAAATCTCACTATGCCCTGAAAAAAATTAGGACCAATAATTTTATTGTTAATGATACCAGCTCAATCGTTAATTTTTTCAGTATATTGCGTGTGAGTTTCACACACGCAGTGAGTATTTTCGCTGTTCCAATATCTACAGTTCAGTTTGTTAACCGTCCCGTTTAAATGAAACGTCGCTTTATCAGAAAAAACTATTTTGTTTCTTCTTTGTCAACCATTTTCCATCCACTCCTGAATGTAGGTCTCTCCCAATTGCTTCCATCTTTCTCTATCTTACGCCAATCTAATCCACTGTTTGCCTGCCATTGCTCTTATGTCATCTACCCATCTTTTTTGAGGTCTTCCCATGCTTCTTGTTGTCGTCCTTGGTCTCCATTCTAGAATTCTCCGTGTCCACCTGTTGTCATTATATCGGGCTACGTGACCTGCCCAGCGCCATTTCATTTTTGCAATTTCTTCCACAATATCCCTAATCTTCGTTCTACGTCTTATCTCGGTGTTTTTAATCTTGTCTCTTAGTGATATTCCAAGCATGATTCGTTCCATTGCTCTTTGCGTTGTTTCTAATTTTTTGGCACATTTTTTGGTAAGTGCTACTGTCTCCAAGCCGTAGTACAAACAGGTAGTATGTAGTTTTCCTAGTTTGATAACATGACCTAGATATACATAATGTTCGACATTTTCTATGGTATGATTTTGTATTGTTATATTTGTCTGGTCTCGGCTCAGTATTTTTGTTTTGCTGTAATTCATTTTTAAGCCTACCGCTCCTGAAACTGCATTTAATTGTTGTAACATATTATTTAGTTCTTGGATATTATCGGCTATTAAAACTATGTCATCTGCGAATCTCAAGTCGTTTAAGTATGATCCGTCGACGTTGATACCCTTATTGTTCCATTCCAGTTTCTTAAAAATATCTTCTAGAGCAAGGGTAAATAGTTTGGGAGAGATGGTGTCTCCTTGTCTTACTCCCCGTTGTAGTCTTATGAGATTAGTTTTTGTGCTTTCGTCCAGCTTTATATGCATGGTGGCATTTTCATATACGTTTTTAATTATGTTAATGTATCTTGAATCTATGCGTGCATTTTCTAGAGATTCAAGCACTGCCCATAATTCGATGGAATCGAATGCTTTATGGAAATCGACGAACGCCATATGAATTGGAACATTATACTCGGTGCATTTTTCTATCAGTGTTCTTACGGTGTGCAAGTGGTCTATGGTATTAAAATGTTTTCTGAATCCAGCCTGCTCGATAGGTTGATAGAAATCGAGCTTATGTGTTAGGCGGTTGGTTAGGATTTTAGTTAGTAATTTATACAGATGTAATAGCAAGGATATTGGTCGGTAATTCTCGATATTTGCTCTGTTTCCTTTCTTGAATAGTAAAATGACCTCGGAGTTGTACCATTCTTGAGGAATCTTTCCTCCATCAATTACTTTATTAAATAAAACATTTAATACCTGTTCCATTTTTCTGCCACCAATTTTCAACATTTCAACTGTAATCTTATCCTCTCCGGACATTTATTCGTTTTAAGTTGATTTAGGGCCATTCTTATTTCATAGTCGGTTATGTCCGTATTTCTTCTGAGCCAGTGTTAATTATTGTTCGTTGAGTACGTCGCTGTTGTGGTTGTGTATTTACCGAGTATAGTTTAGTGTAGAATTTTTCAATGGCCTCGCTTATTTCCTTTCTGTCTCTGACGGTGACGTTTTTTCTCATTTTTTATTTCTATGATTTTTGTTGTGCCTCTTGAGTTTTTTGCTTTGAGTACTTTCATGTTGCAGTTATCTTGTATTATATTTTTTATTAGATTGTTATTATAGTTTCTATGATCGTTCCTGATTTCTTTCTTCACATTTTTGTTTAAACTTTTAAAGCTGTCCGAAGTTCGATCTGTTCTGTTTCGTCTTTCTTGGAGTAGTTTAATTGAATTAGGTTGGAGTTTAGATGTCTTGGCTGTTTTCGTGTTTGAGCATATTTTCTTAACCGATGTTGTTACACTTACTTTTTTTTTGGACTGCAAATCTGCGTCCATTCTGTCAATCATCATTTCACAGAATTCTTGCCTTCTATCATTGAAGGATCATGAAGGATCATCTTCATTTAACTTCTGAACAAACTGAATTTTGTAAAGGTGGTATTTTTCTTTATGCAAAACTCTCAAAATATCTCAAAATAGATGATTTACTTACATCATTGACGGCGGCAAGTTCTCAAGTTGTCTTATGCGGATTTTCCTCAATCTCTAGAAGTACATCTAACTTTTTTTCATCAATAAATTTAATATTTCTACCTGGTTTTTCAATATTTTTTACATCTCCAGTATAACGAAACTTCTTTGCAATTGTGCTCACTGTAGACTGCGACACTTGTTGACCAGGGTATTCATTATTAACATTTCACAAACCACCTTTTGAGCTCTTGTTTTATTACCACAACCAATCATAATAATTAAAATGTCTATTCCTTTAGTCTCGGAAAAATGAGCCATAATTAAATTTAATACGCGCACAAATATTATACTCACGTCTTCTAGTAACTTTAAAATGACAGCAGCCTACTAGATTCATATCAATTGTTTATTTGGCTTTTTGGCTAATATTTTATTATCTTCAGTTTTTTCCCTAATGTTTAGCAGAACAGATACGAAAATACCCGATTATTTCTAAAGTATATTTTAATCGACTAGGCGATATTGCTGATTGGGATAACGGAAGAAATCAACAACATAACCTCAGAGGTCATACAAAATATTGTATGAGAATTCCAAAATCCCCTCGGTTATTTTCAAGAAGTGAATAATGGTGGTCAAGTTGAACATTTAATTTAATTGTAAAAATCAATTTTCTTAGTTATGATTGCACAAATTCAAAAAACTTTATATTGCCGAACTGAGGACTAAAATCTCTTTCTGACAAGATACCACACGACCTCCCTTGCTATTTAAAATTTTCGAGGGGGTGCTGAAGGGGGATATTATTTTCACACTGTAAATTGTCAATTTAAGAATAAAAATCGAACTGTTTACAGGTTTTTTTCACATAGTACATAATAACGCTAAAAATAAATTTATTCCATACATATGGACCACATGGTATAATGCTGTGATTTTGACATTAATTTATAAAACTACCAATAGCTTGAGGTTTGTGGAAAAGTTTTGTAAAATAAATTATATCAATAACTAAAGCTGCCAGTTGTTTTCTGTGTTTTTAAAAGCTCTGCAATAAATATGGTTCTTAACGAAAAAGAGCGAATTACTATTTTAATGATAGGCTACGACTATGGAAAAAGATCTTATAGTGAAATAGCCAACTTGTTCAACGATATTTCCCCAAATCCATTCTCCTATCCATAAGGCGACAGTACACAAAATTGTAAAGCGCTTTGAGGAAACTGGACGAGTAAAAGATGGCATTCAAACAGTTAGACCAAAAACTGTTAGAAATTATAAAAACTTTAGATTTAATGCAGAGTTTTATTAAAGATTCTCATACATCCTCACGCAGAGATGCACAAATACATGATGTAGGTGATTCTTCAGTCTTGCGTGAATTACATAAGAATTCATTTAAACCCTACAAAATTCAGTTATTGCAAGAATTAAATGAAGATGACTACGACCGTAGATTAGTTTAGTGAGGAAATGATAAATAAAATTGTAACTGAAGAGAACAAGATATATTTTTTAAGATATGGAGTGATCTATCACATCATTTTAATGAGAGATGGTTTCAGTAAGATGGAGCTCCAGCTCATCTTGGTGTAAATTTTCGGCGTTACTTAGATCAGACATTTACCGGACGATCGATTGGTAGATTAAGTAGTATTGAATAGCCTCCTTATTTACCCGATTTGAATCGACTTTATAAATTAGTTTTATTTAGTTACTTGAAAAGTAAAACTAATAAAACTAAACCAGCAACTATTGCAGAGCTAAGACAAATAATTGTAGAAATGTAATAGGCGCATTCTACCATCGTTTAGGATGCAGGCAAATTAACAATGGAGGACATTTTGAACAGTTAATTAGGTAAACACTAATTTAACAATGTAGTAAACTTTTAATTACTATGTTCAAATTTAGTTGTAGAAAATTTGAATAAAAAAAATTTATTGAGACGATTAGGCGTTTCTAGGCTTTGAGCATGTTCCTGACTACATAAAATCGAAAGTATTGTATACAGTTGAACTGGTGTTCCAATGGAGATTTCAATAAAGGTATAATATACAGGAAGTTGTATTTAAAAATCAAAGTGATTAATGTGATCAGAAAAATGGTAAATCTGGCAACGTTGCAAACATCAAATTTCAAATAATATTGCAAAATAGGTGTACTCCTGTTTTTATTTAATTCGGTCCATCCATTTAAGGCACTAGTACAGATTAGGGCTAAAAAAATGTTTATTTAAAAAATTTTCTCAGCTTCTTTATTAGATACCAACATGATTTTTTTTTTTATTATCTTATATTTGAGTAACACAAAATTCTTTTCTTGATTTTAGTTCTCATGAATTTTCTAGAGGGCGCCAAGTTAACATTAAAAAAAAAGGTGTCCGATGGCGGACAGTAATTCTCAGGATTGGTACATCTTAAATAAAAAATTCAAAAGAGATTCCTTAACCTTCCACAGTCCGCGTTTGATTAAAATATATAATTTTCATTATTATAAATTTATAAACTTCAACTACAATATTAAAAGATCCACTTGAAATCTTGCAATACTTTTTTAATACAGATATGTTAAAAATTATTTTCGAATATACAAATCAGCAAATTGCTTCAACTGCAGCCAATTATTCTCGTCAAAAAGATACATCACGTACGGACATGTGCGAGCTTCAAGCACTCTTTGGATTGTTGTACTTAGCCAGCGTCTTGAAATCAAGTCGATTAAATTTTCGAGACTTATACAATACCCAAGGAACAGGGATGGTGTTATTTCCACTAAAGATGTCTCTAAACAGGTTTCAATTTCTTTTACGGCACTTAATATTCGACAATTCTGAAACTCGCGAAGAAGAACGAAAGAAGCTGGACAATTTAGCATTCATACGGAAAACATTTGATGCCTTCGTTACCAACACCAAAACTGCTTACAGTCCTTTTCATTTTGTAACAGTGGATGACAAACTGGAAGCGTTTCGAGGGGGTTGCTTATTTAGACAATATATTCCAAATAAACCAAATAAATATGGGATTAAAATTTTCGCCCTAGTTGATGCCAAGTGTTACTTTACTTGAAATCTTGAAGTCTATGTAGAGCAGCAACCTGATAGTCCTTGTGCTGTGAGCAATGCGGTAGTCTTGAGATTATGTGAACCCATATATGGGTCATGAAGGAATATTACTACCGATAACTGGTTCACAAGTATGAATTCGTTAGAGTCGTTGTACGCGAAAAAGCTGACGTAAGTTGGTACAATTCGTAAAAACAAAACAAAATTACCAACTGAGTTTGTTAACCCCCCAAAGTCACGGTTAGTTAAGAGTAGTTTATTTGGCTTTCGACAAAATGTCACTTTTGTGTCCTACAAACCCAAGCAAAATAAAAACGTCTTATTGTTATCCAGTCTTCATTATGGTAATAAAACAGATGAAGTAACAGGTAAACCCGAAATCATAATGGATTATAAGAATGCTAAAGTGGGTGTTGATACCATGGACAAGCTGTATGCTGCATATATCACTGCAAGAAATTCCAGGAGATGGCCAAAGGTAACTTTCTATTTGATGCTATATATGGCAGGTATTAATGCAAATGTCATTTTTCATTGCAACAATCCCGATAATGTAACCAACAGAAGATTTTTTTTACAAAGTTTAGCTAGACAATTAGTTGCTAATCACCTTCGTGCTCGTGCTACTCTTTCTTCTTTGCCATAATCAATGAAATTAAGAATTACAGAAATGGTTGAATCTAAAGATTCACTACCGCATCTAGCTGGTAATATTGGCCAACAAAGAGGACGCTACAGTTAGGTACTGCGACAGACAAAAGAACCGCCGACCAAGTATTCATGTGTTAAATGTAGAAAATATATGTGTTTACAACATTGCACAAATATTTGTAATGAATGTGTAACATGCAAAAAATATTTAATAAATGTAATAAAGCTGAAAAAATCGATCTTTTTACCAATTTTTGCATCTTAATATTAGTTTTTTGACATTTTTTTCTAAAAAGTGGTTATTTGTATTAAAAGGGGTCTCTCTTTAAGTAATTCGTTATAATTTTTTGTTTCAGATGTGCCAATCCTGAGAATTAGTGTTAAACACACCTTTTTTTTGAAACTTTAAATGAAACGCCCTCTAGAAAATTCTCTAACGGGCTCTTTTCAGCACATAAGAACTAATTTTTTTTTTTGTTTTTTAATGATAAGATAATATTTAAAAAACATTTTCGATTCTAATAATTCCTGTTCGTATCTAATAAATGAGCTGAGATTTTTTTTGAAAATATGCATTTTATTAGCTTTCTAATCTGTACTATTACAGAGATAATTGGGCGTTTCCATATTTTTGGTCCACACTCTCTCTTTATCTCTCTCTCTCTCTCTCTCTCTCTCTCTCTCTCTCTCTCTCTCTACTCAACTCTTACCTGTTAACACTGATATCGTGAAGATAAAGGCAGTATAAGAGTTACCAAAACTGGTTAAAAGGATTCCTGCGCACCATATTGTGGTACCTATGAAGGCCACCGTCCGAAATTCATATTTTTTTAATAACGGACTTCCAAAAAAACCTAAAAAAGCATAATAGAATAAATTTTATCATACAAATATTTATAAACAAATTTATAATACAAATTATTACCATATATAAATGTTTTATCTATGATATGTGAAAATGAAGTCCAGTCGTCAGCGATTTAACCCCTAAAAAGCATACGAACAAGCTGAATTTTGCAGAGAATATCAATTTTGGGATCTCAAAAAAGATGCAAACAAGTTTACCATTTTAAACCCCCGGGCTTTCCCCTAAAATACCCCTCGTATGGAAGTAAAAACGCAAAAAAATCGATTTACCAATAATCTGTACGCCGTAGAAAAAATATTTTAAATAAAAAATGTAGCTGAGATAATTTTGAACAAAAATGTTTATTAACACTTTTTGCGTAGAATGAACTGTTCTCTCTAAAACAACGCTTGACGCGACCGGCGATTTTGAATGTCATTTCCACGCTCGAAATAAATGTTTTAAATTTAAAGATTTGTATCAACTCGACGGTAAAAACAAAGTGTCCTATCGGCAAAAATCAAAATGCGTTTGAAAGATAAAGAGGACAGATTTTGTGTGCAATTTTTGTATTATGTAGCAAATGAAGTCAGTTTCTATATAGCTGTTCAATAAATAAACTTTTTACGATTCTTGTGAGTTCAATAAAATTTATTAGGTATTTTCATTGACTACATATTGGAGTCTAATATACTAAGATCTAATATACTAAGTCTAACAGTTTATTATATACAAAAAGTGCTAATAAACATTTTTATTCAGAATTAACTCAGCTTATCTCAGCTTTAGACACATTAACAAACTGGAGACCAAGAGAACAGCAGAGGATTAGGCAGACCACAGAAGGTGGGCAGATGATATCAAACAAGTCGCAGGCAAGCAGTGGATGAGAATTGCCAAGAGTATTCAATGGAAGCAAATGGAAGAGGCCAATGTCCAGCAGCGGACGCATACAGGCTGAAGAAGAAGAAGATCTCAGCTTGGTAAATCGAGACTTCCGTTTTTCATCCCCTTCAAGGGGAATTTTAGGGCGAAGCCAGGGGTTAGGCTGGCAAACCTTTTTGTAACTTTTTTAAGGTTCCAAAATTGATATTATCAGTAAAATTCAGCTTATTCGCATGGTTTTTAGAGGTCCAATCTCTGACGTCTGGACAAATAAGCAAGATCAAGAAATAAGAAAAATGGTTGCTGGAACGTGTACTAAAGAAAACCTATAGAAAACCAGACCCAGAGAAGTATTGAAATAGGGTAAAACGAGAGTTCCAGAGAATAGTATCAACCCTCCACAAGTTACCAAAAAGCGGACTAAGTCTAATAGAAACACCACAAAAGCATTTCAGACAGCAATAATACACAGAAACTATTTTGATACTTAACTAGATCAGTTTCAAGCAGACTCGATCGTCAATAAATTGGAACAAACAATAGATGAGGATCCTGTCAAAAATTAGACTCAACTCTACAATTGAATAAAACGACGTTTAGAGCAAGAACCTTGTGGGCGAACTGCGCTAACAAGCATACCAAGATATGGACTGTTGAACTGGTGAGGTAAAGTAAAAAAAAATCAAAAGAAAATACAACAACAAAAAATAAAATTGACGAAGCAATCTCAATTGAGTTCTCGTTATCTGAAATTAAGCATATTTATGTCACGTAAATTTAAACGTGTTTCAACCAATCACCACCACCAAGCAGGTAGGCAATTTAAATTTTCTTCATAGTTTGTAAACAAAGCAAAGTAATTTTAAACTTCGTATAAGCAACTACTTCTCCCATAATTATCAATGAATAAGGCAATGCTGGAGCTTTTTAAATTATGAACCATTTTTTTTAAGATCAAATACATCTTATTTTGTAAAATAACCTCCACTAGGTCAGTCGTTGATACGAATCGAGAGGGGTATGGGAATTATTATATTAAATCAAAAGAAATGATGGTGTGCTTGGAGGTATTTATTATAAGCAGTACCCTATTTATGACGTCCATTAAAATATTTAATAAAAAAGGTTAATTATACAAAAATAAAAACTATTTACCAGTTATACAGTAAAGTGAGCTTTGTAAGTGAAGTAGAAATGAAGTTTGAGCAGCTGTGACGCCCATCAGTTCGAAATCTTTTCCAAAAATGATTCCAAAACATTGTATAAGAGTTAATAAACTAACCTACAACAGAAATGATTTAAAATGAATGTAAATATCTGTTGGATTTGCATAACCTAATATATAATTTGAGCGGCCCCCAATAGTTTAATAACTTAATCAAGTTAGTCCAAAAAATAGGCGTGAAGTTAAAAAAATTAGCGTAGTGCTAAAAATTGGCGCGAATGTTCGGGACGCCATTATAAACGAAATGTGGAAAGTCCCCATCAATCCCACTTCCGAAAAACAAGTTAGTATAGCTCAAAGGTAGCAAATATGTTTTTTACGTTTTTCAACCAAACTGTTTTTCCATAAAAATACATCCAACAAAAATTGTAGATCATGCGATTATTTACAAAAATTTTCTCTCTACTATTTCCCTTTAAAAGACGCCATACACGCTACGATAAATCGCTACGATTCAATTGTGTCGTTCAAATAACACCGATAATCGCACGTGAATGGGGTAAAACTGCGCAGTTTTCTATATTTTTTAAAAACGGTACCGTCAAACGAAAGAGTATAAAAATTTGAATAGATTTATTGGAATCTGAGGAACTGCGCAATTTTATCGATACGTGTATGGATACAATGGCATTTCTCATAACAGTATCATTATCGGTTCTTGGAAAATTATGCCAATCTTTTGGAAATATTTTTAATTCGTTTAACAAATTCACATGAGAATAAACTTCTTCTTTCATCAGTCAATCTTTACACCAGATGCTACGATATTTCCGCTGTTTTATCTTTTTCAAAGCGAAAATTAATCCCATGACCGCTAACATGCCGTCGTCAGTCAAAGCTATCACAAACAATGAAAATTAAACGAAAATTACACACGGAAATTCTTGATTATTAATAAGAAGAGAACTGTAGAGTTTTAACGGTACCGTTAAATCGTTACGATTTATCGCAGCGTGTATGGCAACCCAAGTGTCACAGTTTCAGGGATATAACGATTAAAAAATCTGTGTTCTTCATTATATAAATTAGTGTACATCACTACCGCTGTAATGCAAATAACAATATTACGTTCAGTATGTACGACGATATTATGGCCATCGAGTTACTGGGAATTCCACGTCAATTATGCAAAGTTGATCAGGCTACCCCTCTCGATTTGGCCTAAATTTTACAGGCGTATTTTACACTATAAAATATGATGATTTACCAAATTTCAGCCTTCAAAATAGATGGGTAAGGTATTCAATTTTTTTCAACTAAAATTTTTTTCCCGTCTTTTATCACTTTTTCTTGGATAGCGGGGCACTAGATGTCCAAAAAAATATACAAAAATACGTTTTCGATGTACAATATTATTTTTTTAAATCATATCTCAAAAACAGATCTTTTTTCAAAATTTAGGAAAAGTTCACAACTCTAAAAATTTAATTTACACGTAACAATTATGTGTCCCGAAAAAAGCCAATCATTCCATGAACTTTGACCTCTATGTTAATTTTCCATGTGTGTTTACATATTTGAGATCTATCAAATTTTCTATTTTTAATATAAGATTAATGTTCACTTATTCTAACATTTAATGAAATTGATGTCTCCCCTAAATAAAACTGATCGCATTCACAAGGGATTTTATAAATACAATTATTCTTTGTTCTTTCTTGTTCATTGTTAGGTTTAGTTTTAGATAAAATATATCTTAATGTGTTTGTTGTTTTTCTGATAATCCCTTCATGTGTGGTATTGTTATTTTCCTCGTATTATTCCTATATTTTTGGCCTTTGATCTTGAATATCTTTTTTTGTAGATTAGGGATTGATGGCGATTTTTCACCTTTTATTTATAATGTCCCGAACATTCGTACCAATGTTAAGCTCTATATAAATTTCTGTAACCTTGAATGCGAAAACGCGTTTTGCTTTTTATCAAAGGGACACTCAATCGAGAATCAAAGGATCAAAAGTTATCTAATTTTTACAACGATATAATTTTTATTTAAAATTGATTTGACGCGCGTACCTTACATTGAAAATCACCGGTTGCTTACAACCTTACAGAACAACTTACTGTACAGAACAATCCCACCGAGTGGAAAAGCGAGAAAAAATATCTAGGAGTCATCATGGATAAAGTACTTACATTCAAAAAGCAGGTAGACGCCACAGTGCAAAAAGCCAACATGGCTAAATCATCCATCAGAGGACTCACTCACAGAGGCAGAAAAAGCAAACTGAGGACTAAAACTAAAATCAGACTAATAAACAGTATCATTATACCGATACTTACATATGTAACACCAAAGACACATCTGTAACACCACAAATAAGAGGATTCAAGTAGTACACAATAACTGCTAAGAGAAGCCGTCAACGTCCCAAGAATATAGCAGAATGCTTTATATTCAGGGAACTACAATAGAGTGACTGAAATCATGAAGGATAGAGCCAGGACAAAATTCGAACAACTGGAAAACCACGCTAGTCCCATACTCCGAGAGATCATGAGATACGAGGCTTTTCACCGATGGAAACACAAAAGACCTTAACAACAAATAGTGGAATAAATAAAAAATAACAAAATAAAAGTGAAGTCAAATAAAATAAAAAGTAGTGAGCGAAAATAAAATAAATAGTGGAGAGAAAATCAAACAAGGAAATAATAAAATGACCAGAGAGAAAACAAAAACCCCAGAGAAAAATAAGTAAATAAATCAACAGGATAGTTCGTAGCTCTAAATAGTCGACAAACACTATAAGTCGCCGCACTATGTGGGCCCCAAGGAGTAAGGACCAACTAAACCACATTAAAAAATACCTTCGGCCAACGAAAAAAATTAACAAAACACCAACAAAAACCGGCGAAAGCCAACAAAAAATTAAACAAAAACAAAAAACAGGTTTTTTGTTTTTGTTTACTCTTGAGCACCAAGTCTCAAAAAGGCAAAAAAAGATTTGTGCATAATCAAAAACTTGCACGTAATCAATCAGCTTCTTTTGAAAACTCCCGCCTCCATCGGCACCATAACATTAAGTCATTATCATGTTTTCAACATATTTTGTAATCTGTTTGACCTTTAATTCACTTATTTCCTGTACAAATGTGACCTAGATATTTTTTATGAATTATCCAGAAGAAAACTAATCATGATGTACTTGTTTTAGTACTATTAAAAATTGCCCACGTACTTCCAGTACACTTCCTTATTTTTATCGAAACGGTGAAATAAATTAGTAAAAGAAAATTGTAAAAAGTGCATTAATAAAAATTTTATGAACTTTAAAAAGTTGTTGTAACAATTACCTAAACATTTTATTAAACTCAATTTATTGTGCTAGTAGCAGTGGCGCTGGTGTGGTAAATTTTGGATAGGCCAAGCCAGCAAATTACATCGTAAATTTAGCGCCATATTCTGTGAATCTTTTATTATCTCCCAATTCCAGTTATTGAAACTTTTTGTAATCCGACAAACGTTGCTCTAATTGAGTGATAATATTATCCAAAATATCAAAAAAGATCCTTCTAAATTTAGTTTAAGCTTTCTCCAAAAAACTTATCTCCGTTATTAGATGAACTACCAGGTAAAATATCAAGTTCATTACGACTTAAGATGGGTTTAGAATTGTTTCGCTAACACTGAATTGGCACACAATTAAACATCATTATTTTTCTTCTGCAAGATGTTGTAAAAGAGCTCAGTTTGTGGAAATATATCACTAAAAACATTTAATAAAAATACAAATTCCAAATCCTCCAACTTACGTTTAAAACCATCTGCCTGCCTAATTGATTTTGCATTTGATTCTGGGCAATTTATTATGTCCTGAAAGACTTGTAACAATTTTTTTCTTTCTTGTGATACAACATAATACTACTTTTGCATTTGAATTCCATCTTACTTCACTATTTGTGGTAATTCGTTTTCCAAGTATTTTATTTAAAAAATAGGACCGTTTGGACGATTGGTGAAAATAAACTACAATACCTTGAAGCGTTGAGAATAATATTTTGACTGTTGTAATGTTGGAGCAACTTTGCTGTAAAACAAAGTTGAGGCAGTGAGCGAAACAATGGGTAAATATTGCTAATGGTACAGAATCTCTTACTAATTTTTGAAGTCCATTAAGTTGTCCCGTCATAACACTAGCTCAATTGTAGGTTAGAGCAACTATTTTAGCTTTACAGTCAAATTTACCAATTACACTAAACAGTAAGTCACGTAACGCTGGAGCACTTCGGTCTTCCCCTAGATCAAAAAAACCTAAACAATATTCTTGAACAATGCCTTTTATATCCACTAATCTGCATACTATTGAAGATTGTGCCCTTTCAGTAATATCGGTTGTTTCATCAAGAATGCATGCAAAAAATGTGGAGTTATTTATGTCGTTCTCATACAACACATTTGTGTTGTTTGTTTAAAAATTTGTTACAATTATAGATTATGTTACATATTTTTTTATCATAATTTAAAAGAAAATTTATATTATAATTCGATAATTACGTTACAAGTGACAACGATGAACGGCGTAGGCCCGATCGTCTGGTGCCTAAACAGCAATCATAAAGACGACAGTAAAAATCGTTGCCCGGCAAGCTACTTAACTTCAAACGCTTTTTGTACGGGGATCTTATGTGAGCTGGGTCGGCCAGTTCCGATCGGGCCTATTAATGATATTTAAAATGCCTGAATACGATTCGATACTTTCTGTGGCAATATAATAACATAGTTGTTTTAACGGACGTTAATGTATTGAGTGATTTAGTACATTTAAAAGTTATTTACACGCATTAACATAATTTTTGAATATATGTTTTTCAATTTTAAAGCTCTTAAAATTATTGGGTAGGCCCGGCCTATCCTGCCTACACCTAAAAGTCGCCACTGGCTAGTAGAAATAAACCTAATTATAACGAAACTTTGAAAAATAATGAACGCTGAAATTATGAAGCTTAATCGAGCTTAAATATAATCGAGTCAAGTTACAACAGCTTTTATTTTACAGGTCGTTCTTTGTACATGTAGGACATTATTCGTATTTTTTTTATATTACGTCTCTTGT